CATACACATACACACACAGACTGCAGAGTCCATACACACACACACACATAGACTGCTGAGTCCACACACAGACTGCTGAGTCCACACACACACTGCTGAGTCCATACATACACACACACACAAACACAGACTGCTGAGTCCATACACACATACAGACTGCTGAGTCCATACACACACACTGCTGATTTCATACACACATACAGACTGCTGAGTCCATACACACATAGACTGCTGAGTCCATACACACATAGACTGCTGAGTCCATACACACAGACATACTGCTGAGTCCATACACACATACAGACTGCTGAGTCCATACACACACACAGACCCACAGACCGCTGAGGCCATACACACAGACAGACTGCTGAGTCCATACACACAGACACACACACACACACACACACAAGCTTCCTCACTAGCAGACAAACACACACACACACACACCTGAGCATATCAAGCCTACCTGTTGGTGGGGGTCAGACAGCCATCTTCTTGCCTTTCCAGCAGCAGCTTATGTACGGGAGGCGGGGCTTCATTTGGGGGTGGGGCCTGTGCCGGGGAGCCTGTCAGTGCTATATTGTGTTAAGCCCACCACTTCACCACAGTTCCCTAATATCGTTGGGTTCAACACGAATTATATCTTGGGAGACAAAATTAAATTAAATAGTGCTAGTGCTAAATTAACTAAATTGTATTTAATGAATCTGTTGTAAGAGAATTGTGAATCTATATATAATGCAAATTTAATCTGATAAACACAATAAAAAAATTGACTCAAAACTAAGCAATCAAACTGATGGTGCTTTGATGTATATACTCACAATGCATATGATATATCTGGTCTATATCAAATAAAAATTATTATTAAAGTGACATTACTATCCAAAACCTCCTCAAATTTATATCCTCCTGTGATCACCTGCAAAGGAACAGCTGGGGTCAGTCAGAGTGCTCAACCCAGAAGGAACCTGGTCTGGACTCCAAACATACATGGAAAAAAAGGGAAATCCCAAGTAAATATATATAAACTCATGAGTGATCGTTGCTAATCAACATGATGTGGTGGAAAACCACAATTTAAGTTTCCAGAGCCTCCAAGTGTGAAGAAAATGTTGTAACACCTTTTAAAGCTTTTATTAATTTAATTCAATGGTCAGGGGGCAAGGTAACAAACACTCCTCGCATTGAAACATCAATGGAAACTTTCTGTCTCTGAGAGCATAGAAGAATTTTATAGCAAAGAGAGAGGGATTTTGGCATGAGTGGTGCGGGCTGGCGGGTCCATAAGGCGGCACTAGCGGCAGCCTTAGAATGCTAGAGAGGGGGGGGCTGCTTCTGTATGCTGGCTGTTCCTGTCCCATCTGACCACCAGGGACAACGCTTCCCCCTCTCTGGTCCAAAGTAAGACTCAGGGAGGGGGAATACACTTTTTTTTTTTTTTTTTACTTTTAAGCAGCCTCTGCCCTCCCTCTACATCCCTTAACCTCCCCCCCTACAGCCCTTTCATACCACTCTACAGCCCCTGCTTCCCTTCTATACTTCTTGTGCCCCCCCACAGCACCTACAGAACCTGCCCTCCTTTAGAACCCTGTGCCTGTCTATACAGCCCCTGCCCCCCCTTTCTATAGCCACTGCCCCTTTCTATGGCCCCTGTGCCCCTACCACAGCACCTGCCTTATCTCTATACCCCCTGTGCCCCACTTCGACAGCCCCTGTGCCCTTCTCTATAGTCCATGATGACCAGGGATAAGGTGGTCTCAGCCACCTCTAAGCCCCTGTGTCTCCTTAAAGCCCCTGTATCCCCCTCTACAGACCCTGTATCCCTTTCTATATCCCTTGTGCCCTCTCTCAGCTCCTGTTCCCCCACCACAGCCCCTGCCTCCTTTCTATACCACATGTGCCCCCTCTCAGCCCCTGTGTCTTCTTCTACAGCCCCTATGTCCCCCTGTGCCCCCTCTCTACATCCCCTATATCCCACTCACAGTGACTGCCACTGGAGGTGTTACTAGGCAGTGCAATTCTCTGAAAAGGCAGTTTTTACATTAAAAAGCCTGCAGGGACAGGCTATAGACTGCAAACCCACTTTAAGTTGTCAATACAGAAAAAAACAAACTGGTTATTTAGTTACTCCAATGGCCATTGGAGGGAATGCCCGCCTGCCACGTCAAGGCTAACCTCTCAGATGGGTCCTACACTAACCTTTCACCATGCTTCCTTGAGCTTCTGGCAAATATATCTCAAATGAGCGAGAGAGAGAGGTTTTTTATATATATATACACCCTTAAATACTTATTAACCATTAAAGAACCACTATAGTGCCAGGAAAACAAACTTGTTTTCCTGGCTCTATAGGGTCTTTGGGTCCCCCCCACCCTCAGGGTCTCCCTCCCGCCGGCTCTAGGAGGAGGAAGGGGTTAAACACTTACCTTTCTCCAGCACCAGGCTCCCTCGGCACTGGGTACTCTCCTTCCTCTTCCGACGTCATCCACCGAATGCGCATGCATGGCAAGAGCTGCGCGCGCATACAATCAGTCCATAGGAAAGCATTTCTCAATGCTTTCCTATGGACGTTGGCGTATTCTCACTGTGAAAATCACAGTGAAAAGTGCGGAAGCGCCTCTAGCGGCTGTCAATGAAACTGAAACTGCTATGTTTACAGCTGCAGGGTTAACCCTAGATGGACCTCGCCCCCAGACCACTACATTGAGCTGAAGTGGTCTGGGTGCCAATAGTGGTCTTTTAATAGGTTACACATGGGATGAGCGGCAGCATTGTAACATAGCTGTGTGATACAAAAAGTGAATACAAATACCAAAAAACAAGTCCTGCGCTCAATCTCCCATCATTCCTGGGCAGCAGTAACGACCATAGTGCACGTCAGCCCCAATACATACAGTAAAAAACTAAGAAAAAAGTTACCTGCACTCTCTCCCAAATCCCTATGTATATTTAAACAAATGGAGGTTATTTAGTTACACCAATGGATATTGGAGGGAATGTCTGCCTGCCACATCAAGGCAAACCTCTCAGGTGGGTCCTACACTAACCTTTCAACTTGCTTCATTGAGCTTCTGGCAAAGATATCTCTCAATATCTCTCCATAAGTTTAAAGGGTAATCCAGACGTGGACCCCTTGCTCACGGTGCCTAGAGATATATCATCTATGCCTCACTGAGGATGCCTAAAAAGGCTGAAACGATTGTCTGGGGTTGCTGTGTCTCTCGTGGAGAGGCAACTTGCTGGCATTTTGGATCTGGACTGCTCGTATGGGTGGGACCAGTCTGATATGCTTCAGAAATGTTCTCTCTGTAATGGCACAATGTGAACTAAAAGCAGCTTGAGATTTGAGCGGGGACCCAACGAATGGCAGGCTATTTCAGCTGCTGTCCGCTCTCAGTATATTCTTGCACCCCGTTTTTTTGCTCTAAATATGTTTGTGTGTGTGTGTATATGTGTATATATATATATATATATATATATATATATTACACACACACACATTGTTTGTTTGTTTTTGTGGGGTGGGGTGGGGTGGACATATTTCAGAAATCTGGCTATATGCCTTTTTGTGGCACGATTTGTAATCAAATTTGGGTCAACAGCATAAAAATAAGTTTTTAAAGGTATAACTTGGAGTTTTTTTTCAACCTATATTACTATGTGAGTATGTATCAGTCCCCTGCTGTGTAAAAAGCTAGAAGAGCACCAAATTTGACTAAGACACGTCCTGGTTTGTTGAGCACTCACTGCAAAAGCTTTTAATTCTGCAGATTTTAAATAAATTAATGAATTCCACAGGCGCTTAGTAAACTGATAAAGGTAATAATAATACAAGATATACAAAATAATACATAAAGAGAAAGTATGGCTAAAAAAAAAACAATGTTTTATGTATTTTAATATAGATCTGTATTTTTAATATAGATAAGCTTACAGAAACAAACATTATATTCACACTGTGCAGAAATACCCCCAAAAAAACACAAAATATCAAACCATGATATTTGCACCTCTAATCACATATTACATTTAGTGACAGTTTTTTTGTATGTATTTTTTATAAATTATAATAATTACTATCTGTAGCAGTAAAATTAATAATGAGTAATCTCTGTAAAAAGTGATGAATTCCAAGTCTAAGCATCACGTGAATTTTTTCATACTCTTACCAAATCATGGCTCCTCTTAGTATTTGCATTGTGCGATTAAGTAATATCAAATACCACTCAACCCAAATGCACGTCCATTAGTTAGTTACATCATTTCCACATTGCACAAGACACTGATTAATATAAGTTACTATGGTGAATATGGCATAAATATAGACAGATCATATTTCCACTTATACATAATGAGATGTACTTACACCTTCTATAAAAAGAGGAAAAGCACAATTAGTAGCTCATTCGTTACTTGGATACCTAAGGTATGTAACATTACCCTACTTCTTTAGTAGGGTCTCTTTTTTTTTTTCTTAATATTTATCATTTTTAATGGTATGTTAGTTAGAAATGTTATGCAAATCCCATATAATTATAATTTAAATTACAAATCATATTAAAAAAAAAAACAACTGTTATTTCTGTTCTTATTAAGATTATTATAACTTTAAACATACATTTTCTAGAAGTTCCTCTGAATTATTGAACACTTTATACCGGCAACTATCAATGTTGTCGATATTTCTGTGGCACAATACAAAATAACTCAAACAGGTGCTATTATGGCTAAATAAGAAACAATCACCATGGAAACCAAGAGTAGAAGTCTTAACTTTTAGCACTTTCCAAAAAACATAGCACCTATTTCACAGTGATAGATCTCCCCCATTGTGCTTTTCCGCAAAGTTATACGGTTGTGAATTTATTGTAATTCTGTTTTTCTGTAATTAGTTCTTCCGCAGTAATACATTGAGAAATTCTAATTTTTATTATGTATGGGCAAACTGTAGTCATCTAAAACGTCTATGATCCTTTGAAAGGTTGTGTGCAATAACTAAATCTGGTAGAGGAACACAAAAACTGTAAATTACGATACCTAAATCAGGGTTCAAAAATTCCACTTGGAATTGACCTCTTGTGTGCCATGGATCCTCCAGTCTTGCAGTGTTAAGTAACTGTTAGATCCAGTCTAGTAAAGTAGGACTTTTTGAGCACTAGCTGAAATTAACCACAGGTTGTCCAAGCCTGCCTTCAGAAAACACTTCTGTCATATTAGGCTAATCAAATCCTACATGGAGAAGTTCTCAGAGCTGACAAGTTTTAGATTCAATGAAATTTAATTTTGGTCATGATGATGAAATATTCGTAGTTAACAGACTTGTGCACAGTGTAAACATTTGGCTTGGCTGAAATGATTCTTCCAAAAAAGAAATTTAATTTTCAAATCTGAAATCTATCCTTGTTTCATTTTGGATCAGACAAATTTTGACCGTGCAATAGTCTGGGGAAAAACAGTTTAGACCAAAAAAGGGGGGCAACAATTGGCCAATTTTTCACTGCTCCTCTATTTTTTCCTTCTATTGGTCACTTCTCACTTTAACTAAAAGCAACATTTAGTGGCTGTACCCTAATCATTAATCATCTTTTTTCCCCATTAGTTTATTTTCTTTTGGTGCCATAGATAGAACTTCGAATTATGAAAAAATAATAGTTTGTCCATTGTCCGTTTTGTGAGGCGGTCATATGGCAATATGAAGTTATAAAGTTCAGATGACCCACCAGTTGCCCAACATTCAGAAAAATCGCTGATCATTTAAAACCAAATGCACAGGTTTAATAGTTAGTCAGCAGCTAAAGGCAGAACAAATGGTACATAGTTACTGCTGCATCCAGTGCTCAGAGTCAGGGATCCACAGTATTCTCTTAAGGTATTACCATAGTGCTGCAATAAACTGTAGCAGTTCAAATCCAATATTCAGATGCACTTTATTAATACCTCACCAACATACAGAGGGGTATTTTAGTATTGTCAGTTTTTTATTCAATTTTGAACTTTACTAACATAAGATTATTTCCTTTATTTTAAAGTCTGAACACCACCATGTTTGAAAAACAGTCTCTTCTCCTGCTGATAGCTATTTCCCTGACTTGTAAAGCTCAGCAAATTGATAAGTGTGCTGGGATCCCAGGTCTTCCTGGCACTCCAGGTGTGAACGGGGTTCCAGGCAGAGATGGAAGGGATGGCATAAAGGGAAATACTGGATTACCAGGTAAATTTAGCCATATTTCATGCAAACTAGTCTGCAGGAAAATAGTAATATAAACATCAGTCATTGAAGAAACAATTATCATAAAAAGCAAAATTCATATTTAATATATACAAACATGCAGTTTAATTGTTTGAGCAATTGGCCAACACTGGTGTTTGCCAAATTAAGATATACTCTGCTTGCTGCACCCTTTTATTAACATGTTCATTTTATAAAAAATAAATATATTCAAAATTGCTGGTAATTGTGGGTGGTTTCATTGAAGTAGTGAAGGGTGAAGAAGCCCTGACAAGTTCTAACCCTCAAGTTGCTGAGTTTTCTATAGATACTATAAAGATACTATGACACGTATCTTTTGAGACAAGTAACAAGGCTTCCTTACCATTCTGGCTTTGATTTGGTTTTTAATCAATTTCTGTATATACAATTATACACAAGCAAGTTCTGAATATTGATGAACATGCAATTTAGGTTAGAAATATTTGAAGGAGCTGGGCATATAGTGTGGTGTTTGCAAACAAAACCCCTACAATATATGCAATCATTCACTCAGTTCTCCCAACATTCAAACATAACCTAAAGCCTTAACACACACCACCCACATAGATTATTGCCATAATTCACATCCTACCCAGACTTACCTTATTATTCACAAACGAATCACAATATTCACATACTGACAACATTATTTAAACAGCATTCACACACAGCTTTTTACACAAATTCTACCATTTACACACATTGATATATCATTATAATAGTCATTCTTGCACAACACTAACAGACTTCCCATCACATTTATATATGACATGTAGCAGCCAGTGCTGGTTAAAGGGAAACTCCAGTGCCAGGAAAACAATCAATTTTTTGCATTGAAAAATGCATTGAAAATGCTTTCCTATGGGAAATGAGCGACACTGGAGGTCCTCACACAGCATGAGGACATCCAGCGACGATCTAGCACAGGTTTCCTGTGCTAGGAACCAGGAAGTGCCCTCTAGTGGCTGTCCAGTAGACAGCCACTAGAGGTGGAGTTAACCCTGCAAGGTAATTATTGAAGTTTATAAAAAACTGCAATAATTACACTTGCAGGGTTAAGAGTAGTGGGAGTTGGCACCCAGACCACTCCAATGGGCAGAAGTGGTCTGGGTGCCTGGAGTGACCCTTTAATGAATAGACTTCGGTAGATTCACAAATTACAAATTTTAAAATAATTCCTATAAAAATAACTCAATACATACATGCAGTCTTCACAGCCTTTGCACACATGCTGTAATATTCATGCTTGCACATTTATATTGACACACTGTAGACTTGCTATGAACATGCATTCAAGTAGAAATGAACATGGTGAAATAGTGTTTTTTTTCTTTCTTCTTTTTTGGTAGAGTGCACTATGCTGAGACTTGACTGACAGGAGAGACCTATATTTGCAATCTGTTTGTCATAAACATGTAGGATTGGAGGATTGGAGGAAGGCAGATGTTGTTCCTATATTTTAAAAGGGTTCAAAATCCTTGCCTGGAAATTATAGACCTTTGAGCTTAACTTCTGTAACTGGGAAAATATTTGAAGGGCTATTAAGGGATAATATTCAGGAATTCATTGGGAAGAACTTTGTTATTAGCAATAATCAGCATGGTTTTATGAAACACAGGTCATGTCAAACTAACCTAATTGCATTCTACAAAGAAGTAAGTAGAAGTATAGATCAGGGTGTTGCGGTGGATGTGATCTACTTGGATTTTGCCAAGGCATTTGATACGGTTCCTCACAATAGGTTAGTCTTCAAACTAAAAGAAATTGGTCTAGATGAATATTCTTGTTCTTGGGTAGAACATTGGCTTAAGGATAGAGTACAACGAGTTGTAATTAATGGTAAATTTCAGGCTGGACAAAAGTGGTAAGTGGTGTCCCTCAGGGTTCTGTTTTGGGACCACTTTTATTTAACATATTTATAAATGATCTTGAAATAGGCATTGAAAGCCATGTATCAGTGTTTGCAGATGACACAAAACTTTGTAAAGTAATAAAATGTGAGCAGGATATTGCTTTGCTGCAGAGAGATTTGGATAGATTGGGGGACTGGGCACTAAAATGGCAGATTAAATTTAACATAGAGAAATGCAAAGTTATGCACTTCGGGGTTAAGAATGCACAAGCAATTTACACACTAAATGGTAGTGAATTAGGGATAACCACACACGAGAAGGATTTGGGAATTGTTATAGACAACAAATTAGGCAGCAATATGCAATGTCAATCTGCAGTTGCTAAGGCCAGTAAGATTTTGTCATGTATAAATAGGGGCATAAATTCTCGGGATGAAAATATAATTTTGCCTCTTTATAAATCGCTGGTAAGACCACACCTTGAATATGCTGTGCAATTTTGGGCGCCTGTTCTAAAGAAGGATATCATGGCACTGGAGAGGGTCCAGAGACAAGCTACAAAATTGATAAAAGGAATGGAGCATTTTAGTTATGAAGAAAGGTTAAAAAAATTAAATCTGTTTAGTTTGGAAAAACGGCGCCTGAGAGGGGATATGATAACTTTATACAAATATATTCGGGGCCAGTACAAACCTTTATCTGGAAATCTATTCATAAACAGGGCTATACATAGGACATGAGATCACACATTTAGGCTGGAAGAAAGGAGATTTCATCTAAGGCAAAGAAAAGGTTTTTTTACATTAAGAACAATAAGGATATGGTATTCTCTGCCTGAAGAGGTGGTTTTGTCAGAGTCCATACAGATGTTTAAACTGAAATTGGATAAATACTTACAAAAACACAACATACAGGGATATAATTTCTAATTAGTAGGGTAATAGCTGCTTGATCCACGGAGACATCTGAGTGCTATTTTGGGGTCAAGAAGGAATTTTTTCCTAGTTTGTGGCAAAATTGGAAGCACTTCAGACCAGGTTTTTTGCCTTCTTTTGGATCAACAGCAACAACATTTGCGAGGAAGGCTGAACTTGATGGACGCAAGTCTCTTTTCAGCTATGTAACTATGTAACTATGTAAATATTTACTAGCAATTCCAAGTAGAATAATATATAGATTTATATTCCATTTTATGCCTAAGTTTTGTTATAAAGTCAGTTAAAAATTAAGATTTTTCTTGCATAGGCCCAGAAGATGTTCACTAATATATTTTATTGTTTAATTTGTCAAACTTCAGGTCCTCAGGGTCCACCAGGAGGAAGTCCAGGACTACCAGGACGAGATGGGCTGACAGGACCTATTGGTGTCCCAGGATTGCCAGGTCTAAAGGGAGACAAAGGAGATATTGGACCTCCAGGTTAAACATACTACATTTTTCTCTCAAATAATATAATGGGAAATGTATTATGCTTTCAATCATTCAAAATCTGAATTTACCATGATCATAGCAATCAGCAGAATGAAATGGGCACTCAAAGCCCCATAACCAATACAGTTCATTGAAGTGTCCATGGTACTATGATACTATGGTCTTTTCTTCTAGAAGAAGAAAAACTACCACAACAAGAGGACATTGTCTTAAATAAGAGGGGCAAAGGTTTAAAAATATCTGGATAATATCTTCCCGGCACTCATAAACTTTCTCCTCTACAGCCTCACCCCAGCACTCTTTGCCTATCTTCTTCGTCCAAGGTTGGACATTCTGGCATCTGATTAAGTATTTAGATGGTGAGGAGCAAAACTCCACCAACAGAATCAGATTTTACCCGTTAACTCTGTAACCACCATTTGATCCGGTGGTCTGTCTGCATTCAACCTGTAATGGTAGTCCCCATAGAGTACACAGAAATGGATACAATACAGAGCTAATCATACAATACTAACAGCTAGGTGTAATCAGGGATGGAATAACATAGGGGCTGATGGAGCTGCAGCTCCAGGCACATGTCCTCAGATAGGCCCACTGATTTAAAACAAAAAAATATATATTTTTTTTACTACTCTTCAAATGCTCTTGCTTATGTATGGAATCTTAAGAGTGATGTAGAGGAACAACACTAGTGTGGACTGGCTGACAATGAAATTGGTTAAGGTAAAGCTGACTTTGCGCCTTATGCAAATACTCTTGCTGCTTCAGTCTCTCTCTGAAACTGTCACATGTTCCCTTTCTTCTACACTAACTACATCCACTTGTTTCTGTACTAGACTGTATAACAGGAGCTTCTGTCTGCTAGTAAGAAAGTAAGCGCGACAAGTGAGTGCGAGGGGACAGTCCTTAAAAACCGTGGAGCAACCACATCATTAGACATATTTATGCCAAACTCAGGGTGCCCTTAGTTGGCCAGCTGCATTAATTGCCAGGCAGCCTGACATGCATTTATGTCAAGCTGAACTAATTATTCGGGCAGACACACACCCTTTGTGGGCATATTTGCCCCTTTGAGCGGTTTTGGTAATGTGTACCACCCGTTTACCCCGCCCACCGAAATCCTGCTTCACTGGACACTGCTCTTAGGGGGTATGGATTTACTTGCAAGCAAGAGATTAGCAGAATGTATGTGTTTTCTTATAACTATATCCAGTGAGTTTCCCTCCGGCACCACCTCCACTAGAGACATGACACTTGGGAGCTATGAGTGTTTTAGTGTTTTCTGTGGATATTATTCTGTAATTTGGCCCATCATAACTGTCAGCACCAAGCCCAATGGGCTCTTAATCTGTCCCTGGGTATTATACAAGTATATTCATACATTACGGATAGCTTGGGACAATGCAAATATAGTTATATAAAACATGGTATTGGGCAAAATACAAACGTTCTCATACAATACACAGAGCTGGACACAATATGGAGATAACCATGTAATACAAAGGTATCTATAATATACACAGAGCTTAGCACAATATGGAGATACCCAAATAATGCATGGGGCTGGGCACATTATGGAAAATCCAAAAAAATACACAGAGCTGGGCACAGCAGAGATACTACATTCAATACAAACATACCATTTCCAGGCCCAATACTAAAATGAGCATAGTATTACAAACAGCCATGGGTAACTGATGAACACACATAGCTAGGTACAATATAGATTTAACCATAGAAGGCCTTTAGAATATTCTGTCTCTTCCTTTTCTGATCTCAGTAGTGCCCCATACTATGAGGGAGTTGAGTTGTTGCTGGTTCTGTGAAACACATCCGTTAATCCTGACTCGCTATTACCATTAATAATTGATCTTATTGACAGCTTATTTTCTCTTTTATCACACACAAGGTATCCCAGCTTTGTTGGATCTGAAACTACAACAATTTCTGGACAAGATAATTAATCGAATAACTAGACTGGAAGGAGGTAATTTTGTTGATGCATTCTTTGACATTTGAATAACATTATTAATATTTCATAATTCACAGGTTAGGTATATTTTCAAAGAAACATTTGAGATTTGAAGGTGTGGATGGGGAACTGAGGTTTTTGAGAATGGGTGAAAAGGGGAGATGGGTGGGTATAGAAAAGAGGGAGAAGGGGGCAAATTATGGGATGCATGAGGGGGATGAAATGAGGGAGAATACAACAGATAAAGCAAATAAAAAAGTACAAAGCATTTTAGAAGAGGGGAGTAGGAGTACATAGGGAAATGGAGGGACTGGGAGTACAGGCAGTGAGGTATGTCGAATAGGTTTTAATAAATAGAAAATGAATGAGTATAGACAAGGATGCTGCAGAGGTTAAAGGCATTGCCACGCATGCGCATTAGTTCTCCCCAGCCGGTGGGTGGGATCAGTCTTGCCCACCGGCCGACGTAAAGACTGGGAGGAGTGGCAGTGAGAAAAAACCACTGCCGAGGGACATCGGCGGGGGTTTCAGGTAAGTGACCTGAAAGGGTTTTCACCCCTTCAGCAACCGGGGATGATCTGTTTTCCTGGCACTGGAGTTTCCCTTTAATGGTGACTCTAGGAACAATATATAAGGGGGCACATAAGATACCACAGTTAGAATTGGAGGGCACGTATACATTTCACTGTGTATATATATATATACACGCACGCAGCGTGTGTGTTTGTGCTTTAGGGTGCACACCCTTATGCAATAGGTTGCGCAAGCATTTGATTCCTAAAGTTATAGTGTTCCTTTAAAACCTTATAATACATTTATCATAACTATACTCTACCTGACCTTTTTATTCACAATACTGAGAAATAGGAAGACTTGGCAAGGGAACTGCAAAATGCATTTACTAGTAACAAATCATAAAGCAGTCATAGCAGTAAATTAACACATTATTATCTGTTTTAGTTCTGCGCTTGGAAGGCAAAATACTAGAAGTAGGAGATAAGATACTGGCAACCAATGGAAAAGAAGTTGATTTTGAAACATCTAAAGCTTCGTGCAAAAATGTTGGTGGGAAAATTGTCACTCCACTGAATGAAGCAGAAAACAATGCCGTTTTAAATATAGTTAAAGATCGCAACAGATATACATATTTAGGAATCAAAGAGGGGCAAACACCGGGAGAATTCCACTATTTGGATGGAACACCAGTAAATTACACTCACTGGAGAAGAAATGAACCCAGTGGTAAAGGAAAAGAAAATTGTGTTGAGATGTACACCGATGGGCAATGGAATGACAAAGCCTGTAACCAATATCGTCTTACCATTTGCGAGTTTGAAGTATTGTAGACATGCAGCTTTTTCCATACACTTTTCTGCTTATTATTGTTTGATCTGAGCAGTAAATATATAGTTGAATGTCAATGTTTTAAATATCGATTCTCAAGACCCTTGGATAAAAATGCATGTGATAAATAAATTAATTAATAGTGTTTGTAATGCTTTGCTCTGAGAAAATAAAAAGCTGATGCATATATTGACTGCAGTTTGTTTTATGTAGCTAACACTGAGCCTGAATGATTAAAGTGTCTTTTTGCATAGTAAAAAAAATAAAAATACATTCCAATGGATGAGAAATGTGGCCACACAAAACAAAGTATGAGGAACTGAATAAAAAAAATCCAGATACAGCAAAAAAACATTAGAAAAAAATAGTACTCACAAGTGCAGCAAAGCCTCTCACTACTGCTCAAACAGTTTGTGCACATAGCAACATTTTGCGCAGCCTCTATTTGTTTGATTTGTGCTGTGGATGAGAAATGTGTTTTGTTTGATTTTTAACCTCTTAAACACCATAATATCATAATGTCCAACTGTCTAATTTATTACCCATTACAGAGTTCCCAGTTTGACATGCACTCAAATGAGCATTGCATTTCACGTATTTCAAACCTCATACATACTGCATTTCTGCAGATACACTTAGCTTTGGACACAGTGGTGTATTTTGGATTTGTGCATGATGAAACGTGGACACCCACTAATCTAAATTTCCCGCACCCCTTCCTGTCAAGGCCACACCTCTTCCTGTTTGAGACCAACACGCACTTTAAAAAACAAACATTGCCCCACCATTCAGTGACAGGCATACATACACTGACATAAACACACACTCACTGATTTGACACACTCACTCACCAGACAAACTGACAGACACACACATTCACTGAAAGACACACACTAAAATACACACATGCTAACTCACATACATATACTAACAGACACACACACACTCACTAACAGACACACACTCATTCACAGAAATACACTGGCAGACACACTCACAGACATAAACTAAGACAAAAACACTAAATAATGGACAAACACATACACTGACAGACAGACACACTCACTAAGAGACGCACACCCATCACTAACAGACACATACTCACAAATATATACTGACAGACACACATTAATAGACACACAGTCACTAATAGACACATACACTGACAAACTCACCTTTCACTAACAGACACACATTCACATATGTAAACTGACAGACACACACACAGTCACTGACACACACACCTTGATACTGACAGACTCACACTCACACACATTGCCTCACAAATTGTAATTTATTTATATTTTCTATTTTAATTTAAATCCACTCAGCCTCCCTACCTTTGGGAGATCTGGAGTGGATTCTTTCCCTGGGGTCCAGTGAGGCTGCTGGGGTTCCTGTGCTAAAATACAATTCAGGGTGCCACAATCACAGTGTGTGGAGTAGATATAATTACCATAGTCGTGGGAAAAGCACAAGACTCACATACAAAGAGAAATTAAAAAGATCATAGTGCAAGCTTTAATTAACAAGAATAGATAAGAACATATAAATGGAACACTCACAAAAATGTTGGCACAATTGAATAAAATCATTATGTGCAAAAGCGCGTTATGCCTCAATCAGGCTTAGTCCCCAGGAGTGCCAGTCATCAGTGGATACCTCTAGACACAGGATAGTCTTTCCTCAACATACAGGTGATCATGAGAAGTAGGGAGTTCTATACAATATCAGACCGTATTTAGGAATGATGAGTTCTTTGTCCCACTGTGCTGCTGTCCTTTCCGGGGCTTACTATTATCTGCTCTACGCGTTTCATCACTCTAGACTTCTTCAGGAGCTTCTGGTTTCCCCTTCATTGTCCGGCATTTAAATCCGCTGGGCCGTGCGTCTGCGCATGCATGTAGAAGCACAAGTAGAACGTCATTACGTCCCGCCATTGTCTACCATGCATGCGCATTCCACTTGGAACGCAGAATAAACTTTATTATAAGCACTAGCGGACAACAGCCCCGGGGTTATATAATAAGGCCCAGGTATTGGACCTAGTGCTATAGGTCCACAAATTGATCATATGGGGAAATTAAGCCAATTTAGAATATCAGTGTTGATAATAAAATATATATGGAAAGTGTCCATGCATGTTAAAATAAATTTGTGAACAAATGGAAGACATAAAAGGTCCCTACTTCTGATGATCATCTGTGTGTTGAGAGAAGACTATCCCCTGTCTAGAGGTATCCACTGATGACTGGCACTCCTGGGGACTAAGCCTGATTGAGGCATAAAGCGCTTTTGCACATACTGATTTTATTCAACTGTGTTTTCCATTTATATGTTTTATCTATTCTTGTTAAAGTTTGCACTATGATCTTTTTCATTTCTCTTTTTATGTGGGTCTTGTGCTTTTCCCACGACTTTGGTAATTATATCTATTCAACACATTGTTGTTATATATAACTTTTTGCACTTGTATTTTGAGGGATCTAGGGAGTGTTCCCTGTTGCCTGCACAATATTGCAATTTTTGATCTCTTTTACCTGTGATTTGGTTCATTGTTTCCTGTGCTGGCTGCTGCTGCTGGACTGTCTCCTATGCTGGCTGGCTGCTGCTGCAGGGTGGACAGGCGGACAGTCAATGGAAGGCGGCGAGGGAGCTGTAATCTTTGTGAAGCCAGGAAGCTGTAATCTTTGTGATGCCGGGAGCCTGAGTGACATCATATTCCAGCTTCGGCATCCCTGCTGGGGATGGGAGCTGAGCAGGAAGAGCTCAGAGGAGGCTTTCCTTCACTGCCCGCCCACAATATTAGCAGCTGCCCATTTCAGGGGAACCCTAGGGTGGCCATCCGGCATCCCCCATTAAAGAGGCTGTCAGGATTACTAATTGATCCAGAACATGGAGCTGTGTCACACCTAGGACTAATAGGTAACATCTTACTGGGCCTTAGAATGGCCAGACTTAACATAGAATAGAGAATAGTCAGAATACTTGTCGAGGTCAGGGACATAGAAAGAGACACAACGGTGAGGGAAAGCCAAAAGTCAAGGATACCAGAATATAGGGAAGTCAAACGAAGCCAAAGTCAATAACCAGAATAACAAACGCTCAGGAATACACTCTTAGACAACCACTAGGGAAACCACGACAGGGTAATGAGTGGAAGGAAAGAATGAGTTTAAATAGCCCTTCTACTTTTCTGATTGGCCAACATCGGCCTTTGACCCCTAAATGTGAGCGCGCGTCTCCCGCGTGACTTCATTGTGACGTCATACACACGCCAACGTCACCATCACCGTGGGGTCATAATTAGACGTGGGTCCGCAGTGGCCGGCATCCATCAACATGCTGCAAGAGTCAGGTATATTGCCGCATAGCCGCTGAGCGCAAATACCGCAAGGTGAGGATGAATATGTTACATTACCCCCCACTTGAGGCTTGAGGGGAAATTTGGAGTGAAAATAACGAATCTTGCAACCAGCATGGATATCGGAGGCTAGAACCCAAGAACGTTCGGCAGGACCATAACCCTTCCAATCAACCAAATACTGTAACAAACCATGAGAGAATCTGGAATCAATTATGGAAGAGACTTCCTACTCCTCCTGACCAGTAACCACCAATAGGCCCGTCGGAACACTTGGGACAGTATACTTATTGCAAATAAGTTGTTTAAGCAAAGAAACATGAAACATGTTAGGAATGCGCAAAGAGGAAGGGAGAGCCAGAGAATATGAAACAGGATTCATTCGACGAAGGGCATGAAACAGACCAATGAATCTGGGAAAAAACTTCACGCTAGGAACTTTAAGTCCAAGGTTTTGTAATGATAACCACACCCTCTCACCCACCTGGTAAACAGGGTTGGCACCCCGCCGCTTGTCTGCATGAAATTTGAAACGATCAGCCGCAGTTTCGAGAGTGGAGTGAACTTTGGTCCACGTATCACGAATGGAAGCAAGGTGCTCATCCAAAGCAGGAATAGCTGTGTTAGAGAAAACAGTTGGCAGAACAGTAGGATGACGACCATTATTCACAAAGAATGGGCTAAGACCAGAAGAGTCATGGTTAGCATTGTTCCTAGCAAACTCGGCCCAGGGTAGTAATTCGGACCAATTATCTTGAGTACTATTAACAAAACAACGCAAATACAACTCTAATGACTGGTTAGCCCTTTCAGCCATGCCATTTGTTTGGGGATGAAGAAAATGACAATTCAATGCCCAACTGTTTATTGAAAGCCCTCCAAAACTGACACACAAATGGAGAACCTCTGTCAGACACAATATTGTGAGGAATGCCATGTAGTCAGACAATTGCACGTATAAATATACGAACCAGGTCTTGAGGGGATGGCAATTTGAGTGGAACAAAATGAGCCATCCTGGAAAAAGACCTTAGAACTAGGAAGTTCCATTCTGAAATCCATGGACAAGTGAGACCATGGGATACTGGGTATGGGAAGTGGATGTAACAATCCACATGGAAGCTTATGAGTTACCATTTGAAACTGCACAAACAGAACATGCCTGCACATATTCTTTAACATGTTTCCTGAGAGAATCCCACCAAAATGATCTCATGATTGTGGATATGGATTTATTAATGCCTGGGTGACCAGCAGTCATGTTATTGTGGAACACCCTCATGACATTTTCCCTTTCAGCCAATGGAACAAACAATTTATCCAGTGGTTTATTGCATGGCACCTGAGACTGGGCCTCCATGATAGCGTCAAGCAGAGGAGAAGACAAGGAAAGGACAGTGGAAACGATAATACATTCAGGTAGAATATTAGGGGATGAGTCTTGTTCTTGTATAAATTCAGTATCAAACCATATAGATAAGGCGTCCGCCTTTATATTTTTGGGACCAGGTCTGTAAGTTATGAAAAAGTTACAGTGAGATAGGAACAATGACCATCTAGCCTGTGTAGGAGATAGCTATTTAGCATCCACTATATAAGCCAAATTCTTGTGGTCAGTAATGATCAAAAGGGGGGCCTTGGAACCCTCTAAAAGATGTCACCACTCTTTAAGCGCCAGTATAATAGCCAACAACTTCTGTTGCCAATATCATAATTACGTTCCGCAGGAGACAACTTTCTAGAGAAGTATCCACATGAATGAAAAGGGGTATTCTGACTCTCCCTCTGAGAGAGAACAGCCCCTTCCCCAGTTTCGGAAGAATCAACCTCCAGTATAAAGGGTTTGCTGGTGTCAAGATATATAAATATGTTAGCAGAAGCAAACCTTTGTTTGAGGAGTTCAAAAGCTTCTTTAGCTTCCTTAGACCATACCATACTGCTAACTCTTTGCGTGTCATATCGGTGATGGAAGCTATCACAGAAGAGAATCCCTTGATAAACCTCCTGTAATAATTGGCAAACCCAATAAACCTTTGAATGGCTTTTAGTCCGTTGGGCAATGGCCAGTGTAGAACATCCTCTAGTTTACGAGGGTCCATCTGAAAACCAGAGGCAGAAATGTTATACCCTAAAAACTGTACTTCAGTCTGATCAAAGATGCATTTTTCCAGTTTACAACAAAGTTGGTTTTTCAGTGAAGCTTGCAAAACTTGTTTGACCTGTTTGTGTTGAGTCTGAAGATCAGGGGAATAAACAAGGATATCATCCAAATAGATTAGGACAAATTAATAAATATATTCCCTGAGTACGTCATTAAGAAAGTCCTGGAATACGGCCGGAGCATTACACAACCCAAAAGGCATCACAAGGTACACATAGTGCCCACTTCTAGTGTTAAATGCAGTTTTACACTCATGATTTTCTTTGATCCTTACCAATATATACGCACTCCTGAGGTCAAGTTTGGTAAGGACCTTAGCACTCTGGAGTCTGTCAAACAATTCGGAAATGAGGGGTATGGGATAGACATTTTTAATGGTGATTTTGTATAATGCCCTGTAGTCAATGCATGGACATAATTCCCCATCTTTTTTAGATACAACAAAGAATCCTGCACAAGCAGGCGTGGATGATTTACGTATGTGACCTTTACTGAGGGAGTCTTTGATATACTCTTACATTATTCTACTCTCCTGTGGAGATAAGTCATATACTGTTCCTTTGGGTGGCATAGCGCCGGGCAGCAGATTTATGGAGCAGTCATATGATCTGTGAGGAGGTGGCATATTGGTCTGATTCTTACTGAATACCTACTTAACCTCCCAGTACTGTATGGGAACCTCGGAGGCCTAAGGTGTAGTAGTGG